CCCACCCATTGCCTCGCTGAGAAGGAACATACCTGCCATAAGGGTTCCTTGTGGTTAACTGGGCCCAAATCCATAATCAGCCCAGCAGCCACTGCTCACAGAGGCCTCTCACCACACTCCGTCGCTTGCACGCACGCACTTTCACGCACGCACTCACGCACTTTCACGCACGCACGTACGCAGCCTTCCAGGAAAAGCCGCAGACTGAGCCACCAGCCCCTTTTACCGTGTTCCTGCTGGCTCAGCGGGCTCTTATACGGGAGCGGAATGTCTTTCAACCAATGGGCTGAGACGTGCCCTGTCCAATCTGAACTGCACAGCTATATCCTCATTTGCATCCTTATTGACCAATCAGAGCAGCTCTATAACAACCAATCAGAACGTGTGATTCTGACCTATCAAGACAGTGTTATTTGGACCAATCAGACTGTGCAAATTTGGATTCCTCACATTCATAGAAAATGGACCGATCTGGGACCAGCCTGGGGACTTTCTCTACAAAAAGCTGTCTCCCCATTGTCTCAGAGGTGTACACTCTCAGTTTCCACCGTAGCGGTTTCCCTGATTTGCAAACCGTTTAACTGAAGAAAGCTTCTCCTTTTACTCACCCCAGATTGGGGACTCCTGTTGGCGTTAGATTGGTGGCAGCAAACTTTTGTTGACACCAAAGAGGAAGCCAAATACCACACCACACAGCTGGTTAGCTCCAGAGCAGGGATTCGAACTCAGATCTATCTGCTTCAAAGGCCACCTGGACATGCTGCCTCCCAGGTAAGAGCTGTGGTGCTTCCCAGGATCAGGAGATGTTGCCAGGCCACCAGAAGCAAGTGAGTCCCTGGTTTCTCTTTCAACAACGGTAAAAAGATTTGTGTTTTTTTATTCATGATAAAAAACTTATAGGAATAGTAGTGGGTGAAACAGATTCCGGTAAAAACACAAATGTATTATTCCACCTCCATGTAGTAAAAAGTATACTTGTACAGTGTTTTGACTTGTATTTTGTGGTATTAAAACAGTGAAGTAAAAAAAAAACAACAACAAAAAACAAGAGTCAGCAGGGGAGTGACAACATCTGGCCTAGATATTAAAAGGTGCCTCTGGCAGCTGAGTGGAGAATGGTTTGTAGGGGTCGAGAGACAGTAGGGAAGCCAGTGAGGAGGCCTTGACAAATGAGTGATGCTGGTAACCTGGACCACAGCCATGGCAAGCATCATGGGTGTGAGACCTGTGCAACTGCACAGGGCCCTCACTCAGAAAGGCCCCATACTTTGTTTAATGCTCTGTTGTCACTGTCTTAGAATTCTTAATACTTTTTGAACAAGGGACCCCATACTTCATTTTGCACTGACCCTGACAAATTCCAGAAGGTCGTGATCAAAGCCGAGAAAGGATCTTAAACACTCAAAGTATGACTTTTGTCACTGGTCTGCTGGAGCTGGCTTCTACCAGCTTGGAGAGCCAATTGTTCAATTTTGAGGAATTGTGTTATGTTGGTAGCTTGAAATTGGTCATGATGAAAGTATTTACACCATAGAAATCAGCAAACATTACACTAGTCAGGATCTTTTTTTTAAAAAAAAAAAAAAAAAGACATTGCTTTTTTAAAATATATTTTTTTTGATTTCAGAGAGGAAGGGAGAAATAGAAACAATCAATGATGAGAGAGAATCATTGATCAGCTGCCTCCTACAAACCCCCTTTCATCTCTCTCTAAAATCAATCAAAAGTAAAAAAAAATTAAAGCTCCTGTGGACTGAACCCTGACGAGAAATCGAACCACAACTTTCTGGTTCATAGGTTGAGGCTCAACTATTGAGCTACACTTGCCAGGCTAAAAAAGACATTTCTTCATCAGGGTTTTCCCAGGGTGTGTTCAAGGCCCACCTTAGCAGTGTGCTAAAAATAGTAGTTTCTGGGCAGCCCTCCCCAGGCCTGTTGGGTCACCCTGCAGAGTGTAGAGTGGGGCTCTGGCTGATTCCTGAGCCCCCTGAGGCTGCAGGGCCGGGTCAGGAAGGCTGAGGCCCTACACAGTGGGTCCACAAGCTCCACTGGAAATAGGAGCAGAGGAAACCGGTTTTTGGAGTTGGAAAAGGAAATCTGCTTGAGCTGTAGGTGTGGCAGCTCATCAAGAGAGCTGAGGGGCAGCAGTTCCCGACACTGAGGTTCTTGGCCTGGGACCCACCTCTACCTCCCACATGGAGGCCAAGCCCAAGGGGGAGGCGTCATCCACAGTGCTGCCCTCCTTTGGTGGCAGGGACTTTTAACAGAGACCTGAGATGCACACAGCGTAATGGCCCCTTGTAGAGTGGGCGCACAGTAAATAACGACTATTACTACTATTATTACGAATGTTGTTGTTATAATGGCCTCGCCTCCTGGCTGGGATGCCTCCTGGCTGGGTTGCCCACTTTCTCCTACACCCTTTCCTCTCGTACCCTGCCCCCCCTTCTCCATCTCCCCCCAAGCTCTGACAGCAGCTGGGACCACCACATATCCATTCCCTACCACTGCTTCACGTCGGGGACCCTGGCAGCCTAGCATCAGAGAACCCCAGCAAGGGGGTAGGTGGAGATGGCGGGGAGACGGGGGTCGATTCTAAGTAGACACCCTCACTTCCGCTCCACCTCTCGCCCATCCTTCCCGGAGCGCAGACCACCCGGGAAAAGCCACCCTCTCCGGGTTGTTGCGACGAAGCTCAGGGTCTCACTGCTTGGGAGATGGCGCCACCTACAGACTCCTGGGAGCTCTGCGGCTTTGGTCCCTCAAACCAGGGAGGAGGGAGCGGAGAGGACAGGCCCCCCCCACCCCCCCACCCCCACTACACACACACCCGCCCTCTAGAGGCCTGGGCCGGCTCCTGCACTGAACCAAATACAGCATCACACTGTCTCCCGCTGCCCTGGGATCGGGAAGGAACCTTTCCAAAACGTGTTCGGTGGAACCCACACCTTGATCAAGAAGTTTGGGAAATGCCCCTTGGAGATTGTCCGGAGGGCATATCTGCCCCCAAAGCCTGGCTTGAATTAACCCTTCAGTTCCCTAACATGAACACTGAGACCATGGGAAAGTTACTTTTTCTTGGCCTGTTACCTCATCTGCAGAATGGGGGCGAGGGTGTTGCACTGGAAGAGAGTGTCTCAAAGCTCAGGTGGGAGTCTCAGAATTTAATGAGAAAGAGAATCACCTGGTAACACGTTTAAAATGCAGTTTCCAGGGCCCAACCTCCCCACAAATTCTGATCCATACAGGAACCTGCAGGCTGAGTTAGTTTCTGAGAGATTCTAATGCAGATGTTCTGCCAACCCCAGCATGAACCAGACTCAAGGCGGCTAGAAAAGCTGGCAGGGGCTTGCCAGATCATAGCAGGAGTGTGGAAGCTGTGACTCTATCCAGAGGGCAGTAGAAGACACAGGAGCTTTTATTTTTTATTTTATTTATTTACTAGTATTTTTATTCTTGATTGATTGAAAGGGGGTGGAGAGAGAGAAAAATAGAGAGAGACATCAATTTGTTCCAGTGACTTATGCAGTCATTGGTTATTGTATGTGCCTCATGGGATAGAACCCACAACCTTGGTGCATTGGGACACAATAACCAACTGAGCTACTGGGCCAGGGCATAGAGCTTTTATTTTGTTTTATATAATTTTTAAAATGTTTGTTTATTTCAGAGAGGAAGGGAGAGGGTGAGATAGAAACATCAATGATGAGAGAGAATCATTGATCAGCTGCCTCCTGCATGCCTCACACTGGGGATCGGGCCCACAACCGGGGAATGTGCCCTGACAGGGAATTGAACCTTGATCTCCTGGATAACAGATCAGTGTTCAACCACTGATCCACATCGGCCAGGTGAGGGCATGGAGCTTTTGGAAGGTGAGTGACAGTTTCTTTAGAAAGATCACTCTGGCACTGGCTACTATGAAGAAAGGGTTGGTGGGGGTTGGACAAGGTGGGTGGCAGAGAGATCAGGGAGGTAACTGCTGAAGTCACCCAGATGAGGCAGTGGTGTCCTGGGCCGGGTGTTGACAGTGGAGGAGAGGGGACAGATTTTAGAGATAAATTTTTAAAAAATATATATTATTGATTTTTCACAGAGAGGAAAGGAGAGGGATAGAGAGTTAGAAACATCGATGAGAGAGAAACATCGATCAGCTGCCTCCTGCACACCTCCTACTGGGGATGTGCCCACATGCCCTTGGCTGGAATCGAACCCGGGACCTTTCAGTCCGCAGGCCGACGCTCTATCCACTGAGCCAAACCGATTAGGGCGGTAAATTTTTATATATATATTTTTTATTGATTTCAGAGAAGGGAGAGGGAGAGAAACATCAATGATGAGAGAGAATCATTGATTGGCTGCCTCCTGCACGCCCCACACTGGGAAGTGAGCCCACAACCTGGGCATGTGCATAAGTCACTGGAACAAATTGATAAGTCACAGGAATCAAACTGTGACCTCCTGGTCCATAGCTCCATGCTCAACCACTGAGCCATGCCAGCTGGGCAGAGGTAAATTCTTTAAATCCTTTGGAATATGAGAATCCATTGGAATTTCTGATTACATTTATTGTTTATCCCAGCCTTTTAAAACCTCAAGGGATTGTGTATTATGTACACAATACATTGGTACAGTGGTATATATTTTTTGAGCACATAATATATATATATATATATTTGGCCTAGACAATCACTTTTAGAGCCCTGAGTTCGGACTACATTGAGGCCTTCATACTGTGAGGAAGCTCAAGCCATATTGAGAGGCCACATGCTCCTGCTGACAGCCCAGGGGAGGTCCCAGCCTACGACTAGCATCAATGGTCCCACACACCATAGGACTGAAGAGATCTGATGATTCCAGCTGTTGAAGTCACCACCAGCCTTCAGGTCTTTGCAGGTCTTCCCAGTTATCACAGAACAGAGATAAGTTGTTCCCATTGGCCTTTTCCAAATTTTGGACCACAGAATTGATGAGCATAATGAAATAATTGCTTTTCACAATTGTGTTTCAGGATGGTTTATTATGAAGCAATAGATAAGAGGAACTGTCATCATTATGTACCATAGTGTCTTCCTCCACACTTTCTGTGAAGGAACCAAGTGTCCCCACATAGCTGCCCATACTGAGAGGCAGAGAAGGAAACAGAGGTAGTGTCAGTGAGATGGTCTGGGGAAAAAGAGGTGAGGCCTCACTCAGGGTGGGGAGAGCAAACCAGCCCCAGAGGGATCCCACCTTCAAAGCCCCTTGTGGAAGGAGCTAGGAGTCTAACTCGTCGTATGGTTCTGACCCCACCACTCCATTCCAGGTCCTGCTGCCTGTGGCCTTTTACTCTTAGCAGGAAGATTTCCAAGAGAGTTGGCCACCTCTTTGGACCCTAGTATTAGGTCGTATTTAGTTGGCACCTTCTAAGGGAGAAAGGGAAGAGACTGTGAACCTGCCCCTCCCCACCACTGTGGCAGAAAAGGTATTCCAGGGCTGGATTTTTGTGGGTCCACGGCTCACCAGCTCTGTGACCTTGGGCAAGTCACTTTATCCCTCTGAGCCCGAGTTTTCTCTGCAGTAAAATCGGGCAAAGAGTAGCCCTGCCCTGAAAACAGTTCCTGTGTGGATTAAATAAAATGAAGCAGATTTAAGTGCCCAGTCTTAGTAAATGCTCCCTTAGTTTGTCATTCTTTTGGGACTGTTGCTATATATATTTTTAATTGATTTCAGAGAGAAAGGGAAAGGGAGAGATAGAAACATCAATGAGAAAGAATCATTGATTGGCTGCCTCCTAGATATGCCACACTGGGTATCGAGCCTGCAACCGGGTATGTGCCCTAACTAGGAATCCAACTGTGACTTCCTGGTTCATAGGTCTGTCTATGCTCAACCACTGAGTCACACCCAGCCTGGCTGGGACTGTTGCTCATGTTGAAAACCAAAAAGTCCAGACAAGTAATGTCACTGTGAGCAGAACATTTTTGCTTCAGCCCAAGTCACCCTGTGGGAATGTGGGCCCAGTATAGCCACAGCCTCATGGAAATCTAGCCTGGGACTGGTACAGAGTCTGAGCTGCAGGAAACAAGTTCTATGCTTCTATCCCAGCTCCACTTGTCTCCGCTGAGTAAAGCCAGGATGCAGCTTCGCAGGAAGAAAGGAAGCTATTTTTTCTTTAAAAAATTTTTTTTTTTAAATTTCAGAGAGAGAAAGGGAAAGGGAGAGAGATAGAAACATCAATGATGAGACAGAATCATCAGTTAGCTTTTTCCTGCACTCCCCCTACTGGGGACCGAACCTGTAATCCGAGCAGGTGCCCTGACCAGGAAGCAAAGTGTGATCTCCTGGTTCATGGGTTGATGCTCAACCGCTGAGCACACCTGCCAGGCAGAAGGAAACTATTTCTGCAGGGTGGTACCCAGTTCACACAAGAGACCTAAATGGGGAAACAGGGAAGTTGAGTTCCTATCTTAGCTCTGCCCATACTTGCTATAGGATTTGAAACACCTGTTACCTCAGTTTCCCCATCTATAATTCATTTCATAAATACTTACCAAAAGTATTGACTCTGCGTCATTGTTCAGCTCAGGCCCACAAGGGTGCCCAAAGTGGTTCCCCAGGCCTTTTCACATACCGTTAAAAACTATCCTACTGCCCTGGCCGGTTGCACAGTGGTTAGAGAGCCAACTCAGCACCAAAGGATTGCAGGTTCAATTCCCATTCAAGGGCAAGCACCAGGATTGCAGGTTGGATCCCCGCCCTTTCGGGGCCCTATGGAAGGCAACCAATCCATGTGTCTCTCTCACATTAATGTTTCTCTCTCTCCCTCCTCCCTCCCTCCTTTCCACTCGCTCTAAAAATCAATGGAAAAAAATATCCTCAGGTGAGGATTAACAAACAAACAAAAAAACTATCCTCCTATCTGTCTTTCCTGTTTCCCTTGCTGAGTCCTTAGCACCGCTCAACCTTGGATGGGACAGTGCTTCCTTCCCAAGCCCTTCTGGATCAGTCACCACCCTCTCAATGGATTATTCTACATTGATTACCCAGTGTGTGGTGGCAATGATGATGAAGGGGAAGATGACCAGAGCCTACTTTTCCCACCAAACCATGAGCTTTGTTAGAGCTGGCACAAAGGTGTCCAAAATACAGTTGTTGGATAAATGGCCTTCAGGAGACAAGAAATTCATTTGCTTGATCTTTCTGTCACTTATTAGCAGTGGAATCCAAAGCTTCTCTAAGCTTTGGTTTTCCCATCTAGCAAATGGGGTCCATAATCCCTGTGTTTCCCATCTCTATCTCAGAACTTTCTAAACGATGCTGGGTGACCTTACAAGCTATATGAGGCAGCATAGGGCATTAAATAGTGTGCCCAAATTCATGTCTACTTGGAAATAAGGTCTTGGAAATAAGTGTCTTGGAAATAAGGTCTTTGTAGATGTAATTAAGGTGAGGATCAAGGATGAGATCATATTACTTTAGGGTGGGTCCTAACAATGACAAGTATCCATATAAGAGACAGAAAAGGGAGTCCTCTAGTCCCCGTCACTCACACCTGGTTGAGAAGCCCCTGAGGCAGCTGATGAGAAGAGCTTAATGTCCACCTTGCACACCAATGATGCCCAGGGACCACCACCTGCAGGCTGAGGAGGTAAAAGCTGGCAGCAAGCATTGCTACTACATTCTTCTTGAGGTGGAAAGAAACTTTCTGACAATAGCCAGACGCAACCTCCATATAAGTCAGGAAATTTCAAGCCACTGTGGTCAAGTACCAATTCTATGCGTGGCAGCCATGGGAAAAGGAACAATGAGGGTTGAGGAACAAGGCATGCGCAACTTCACAGATAGGACCCAGCCCCTTTTTTCACAAGTGAGAAAATGAGATCCAAAGGGGGGGCATACTTGCCCCAGGGCACCCAGTGAGTCATGGTAGTGTTTAATTGTGAGCTCTCAATTCTGCCAATCTGCATGCAGAATTAAAGATGAATATGCACAGATCTACTTTTATGAGGGAGAGGGTCCATAGCATTCATCAGATTCTCAAGGGAGTACAAGACTAAAGAAGAGTAGGGAGTGGAAGAGTCCAGGCCAAAGTCAATGGCAAGTCACCGCAGATCTGAGACTACAATTTGTGTCCTAGATTCTCAATCACTGCCCTACACCTGTTCCTCATGGGAAAGGCCATTTTCTTCAATGCACCTGATTGAAGGGCCTAGTTAGTAGAAACACCATGGTTTCCAACGGGTGAAGGCTGTTGTCCTGCTGGCATTGCCTATGGACACTGATAGAGAAGAACTAGGGAAGACTCTAGAGCTACAAAGAAGCAACTCACTCCTAAACTGTTCCCAGAAGGCCCCCACGCAAGGTGAAGGCCACAGATGCATGGCTTTCAGAGCCTAAACACATTTCTAATAAGATACACTCTGCTCTTTGGTTCAAATTGTTGATTTAGGTCATGCTCAAGTCTTCTATATGTTTCCACAGGCTCCACTGGACCATGCTGGCCTGGAAAGGGTCAACTCCCAAAGCAAATGAGAGATTGATTGAACACAACGGCCAAGTATGAAAATTAATTGAGATATTTAATAGACAGTGCAAACCATAATTTCATCTGAATATAAATGTATGCACATGTTTCCAATGAGTTATCTATCAGTTATCACAAACAGCAACAAGGACCTTAGAGCTATGTTAGAAAAACATATAGCTGGAATTTAACTCTAACAATCTCACTTGTTCTCAAGAGAACACCATCCATTTCATATCAGTGTCACAAACTTCAAAAGACCAGGGAAGTGGAAGTGAGGAGTGGGCTAGAATAGGAAACACAGGGGCCAGTACACAGGTGATGGACAGAAATACAGCTCTTGAGGAAACCAAAATCAGATGCATTATTACCGCTAAGGACAAGGAAAAGCCTATGGTTTTTAAAAAACGACTTTTCTGCCAGTACCATACAAGTCTTACAAAGAGATGTGTGACAAGTCAACTGACTTAAAAAGACAGAGGCTACATTTTCAGATCATTTCAACTGCAAACAGTCGACCCTTTCCATTGAGGTTCAGCAGTGGAGTTAGCGTAGTCCAGAAGCTCAATGTTGGATTTGCAAATACAGTTTATTTTACAGAAATTCAACATTATAAACAGCAGGCACCTCCCAACTGCTCTTTAGTTTAGGATTCATTTATCTATTTGGAGACAAGAGGTACCTATCACCTCTTCTAATTACACCAGGGATTCACTAGATGCCTTAGATTTAATTCATTTAATCCTGAGCTACCCAAGGTGGGAATGAGGTCTTCATTCTACAAATGAGAAAAAAAAATCAGATATTAGTAACTTAAATTGTCCAAGGTCACACAGCTAATGGACAGAATCAGAATTTAAATCTACATGTAAGTCCAAAGTCTTTGTCTTTCTACTATAGCAGCTATCAAAGAAAGGACTATCAGATATATGACATGTAGCCTTCTAAACTTATTAACTTTTTTTAAATAGTCACCCAAGGATATGATTTTATTGATTTTAGAGGGGGGGGGGGAAAGAAAGAAACATCGATGTGAGAAACATCGATCAGTTGCCTCCCAAATGCACCCCAACGGAATTAAACAAGCAACTTTGGGTATGTGTCCTGACAAGGAATCGAACCCAGACCTTTCAGTGCACAAGGGGACACTCCACCCAAATCAGCCACACCAGCCAGGGCCCTTCCTGACTTATTATTAATGACGAGGCTGTTCCAGGTAAGGACAGGGTTTCTTCTCTTAGGTAGAATCTGAGTTTTGAAGTTGGAAGTGGGAAAATGGAGTGGTCTTACATATTCAAACACACTATCTTGAAAAATTACTTTCTACTTGAGACTTCATAGAAATTAACTCCAAAAGAATGAGTCCCACCTGTTTAGGATAAAGAAAATTTAAATACGTATTTATCATAAAATAGGTGAAAAGTTCTATGACAAAAGACAGACTCTGCCCTTGAGACTGCAAAACATTGGGAGAGCCCTGGCCAGTGCTGCTCAGTGGTAGAGCACCAGCCCACGCACCGAAGGGTTAGTCTTGGGTTTTGATTCCTGGTCAAGGGCATGTACCTGGGTTGCAGGTTTATCCCAGGCCTTGATCAAGTCTTTCGGGAGGCAGGCTATCCTTGTGTCTCTTTCTCTCTCTATTTCCCCATCCCTCCTTTCCACTCGCTCTAAAAATCAATGGAAAAAAATATCCTCAGGCGAGTATTAATAAACAAACAAAAAAAACAACTATCCTCCTATCTCTGTCTTTCCTGTCTTTTCCCTTGCTGAGTCCTTAGCACCGCTCAACCTTGGATGGGACAGTGCTTCCTTCCCAAGCCCTTCTGGGTCAGTCACCCCTTTCTCAATGGATTATTCTACATTGATTACCCAGTGTGTGGCAGCAATGATGACGAAGGGGAAGATGACCAGAGCCTACTTTTCCCACCAAACCATGAGCTTTGTTAGAGCTGGCACAAAGGTGTCCAAATACAGTTGTTGGATAAATGGCCTTCAGGAGACAAGAAATTCATTTGCTTGATCTTTCTGTCACTTATTAGCAGTGGAATCCAAAGCTTCTCTAAGCTTTGGTTTTCCCATCTAGCAAATGGGGTCCATAATCCCTGTGTTTCCCATCTCTATCTCAGAACTTTCTAAACGATGCTGGGTGACCTTACAAGCTATATGAGGCAGCATAGGGCATTAAATAGTGTGCCCAAATTCATGTCTACTTGGAAATAAGGTCTTGGAAATAAGG